TCTCTCTCTCTCTCTCTCTCTCTCTCTCTAATTAGTTATTAAATATTATAATAATTAATTTTATTAACACAGGTTTTATGATAATCAAAGCGTGTAATCTTTAAGCAAGTTTTAGTAAATACTACTTTGTAATAGAGTTAACTCAAATATTAGTTTTGATTTTTGTGTGTTATTTGTTATAAGTTTTAATGTAAGAAATATATAAACTATTGTAAGTAAAATGTCCTTTATAATTATATCCATTTATTTCGTAACATTTGTGACAAAATTATTGTTAAAATTCACATTAAATAAGCAATTGATAAACTTTTTAATGGATGTAAAGTCTATAGAAATGTTTTAACTTAAAGAAAAAATTATTAATTTGGGCACAAATAGTATTTGTAACTTTAAAGTCAAATAAGTGTGAAGTATTTATAATTATGATTTCTACCAAGGTCGATAAGTTTTTATAATGTTTTACTATTAGTTAACATATTAAATTAATCATAGACTTCTTGATAATTGTTTAAATGTAATAGATGGTTTTATAATTATTTGTGGTGCTATTTATAAAGTTTTATAAAGAATATTGTTTTAATAATTTAATTGAATATTTTACGTGTATAGACAACTAACTTTAAAAAATATAATTATAAATTATAATTATATATTAAATTATATATTATAATTTATAATAATAAAATATTTACACATTAAATATTATAGGCAATCCTGTTCACGTAAATGTAACAATGTATTTAAACGATATAAGTGCAGTATCGGAAGTAATGATGGTAATATTGCGATGATTTACATTGGTTACCATATTTACAAAATACACGTTTAATATATTTTGATTGAAAGGACTATACATTGGATTTCTATATCCGTCAGCTCTGGAACGACGAGAGACTGATGTTTAACTCGTCTTCGGTTTCAGCGCTAATCCTTGGATCGGAGTTCTCAAAGAAGATATGGATTCCCGACACCTTCTTTGTCAATGGAAAACAGGCATCGCTTCACATCTCAACCACCACTGAGTCTAATGTTTTGCTTAGGATTAAACCAAACGGTGATATACTATACAGTCTTAGGTATTAGAGGATTTATTGATCAAATTAGATCTAGGATACACGTGTAATTTGTTTTGTAGAGAAAGTGAGTGAGTGAGAGAGAGAGA